TGTGGCGTGTCACGGCGGTAACACGTCGGGTGGATGACGTCGTGTGCCGCGGCGGTGGCAAGGCAGGTGGTGTGGCGTGTGTGCAGGTTGTTCGTGTGACTGGAAAATAATGGGCGAAGCCAAAAAAAAATAAGCCAGTGCATTCTAGAACAGTAATGTCCCTACATCGAGATAGTAATTTTGTTTCGGCTGTAAATATTCAAGTTTGTACGTTAAGGGTATTATAGCGGTTAACGAATAACGAATAACGAATAATAACGAATCATGAAGAATAAATTAACTTTGTAGGATCACGATCATGGTGACGACGACGAGGTATCGGGTACCATAGCGCGTGAGGGGCTGAAGTATCAGGCACCATAGCGCGTGAGGGGCTGAAGTATCAGGCACCATAGCGCGTGAGGGGCTGAAGTATCAGGCACCATAGCGCGTGAGGGGCTGAAGTATCAGTCGAGCACAACGTACAGTGCATCATTCACAACGAATTACTTTCAAGTGCGCGCCTTCCGCGTCGTTCGCAGCACCAACAAAGAAATTAACCCAAGCAACTTTCAGGCGGAATTCGTGCGTCACGGCCGCACGACTGCCGGCGTCAGCAGCAGTGCGTGATTAGTGCGAAGTCACCGTAGTTACTGCAGTGGTTGTTACAGCCTATCACCACGGTGAATGTTGCAGTAAACACTGTTACATTTCTGCCAGCACCAAAATATTGCATTTTTCTCTGATGAAAATAAGCGAATTACTGTAGGAATTACTACACCAGAATTTTCCTACACCAGACGGTCGACTTTGAAACGTACATCAAACATTACAATACTTTAAATTAAGCAGCGTAGCAGAGTGGGTAACAAAACGTATACCAACTTAATTCGCTTATCACCAGATTTACTCGGTGGTGAACATCGGACAAATTCATATGCTTCTATGGCACGCTTCCAGAGCAAAATTCTGAATCTTTGCAAGAACGAGCATTAGTTCGAGAAATTAAACAATCATCCGCTCACTAAACAAACAAAAACAATTGCTGTGAAAATTTTAAGTAATTTATGACTATTTGAACATAATTATTGATCCTTTCCTGACGGTTGGTCGCGGTAACAAAATGTGTCAAAAATTTCATCATTTCTGCAACGTCTCGGCCTAATTATTACGTATGGCACACATATACCTGTCGGGCCCGTAACTGTTCTGCAATTCCGCGGCCTGCATGAGTAAGTCACACAGTTAGCTGCTGGGTCTACAACTATTCTGCAACTCCTCGGCCCGAGTATAAGTCTCACAGTTGGTTGCCCGGCCCACAACAGACTACATGCTTTTTAAGCTACTAGGTATTATGTAACTCCTGTTCGTGGCTACAGTCAATGTCAATTGCCCCGATTCCCATACTCATGAACCACAGCTTCAGGTGCTAAGTTCTTGTGCGCATCGGCATTATTACAACATTGCAACGATCAGCTGAGTACATTACAGCTTGGGATTTCATCTGTAAATAAATCAGTGGAAATCTGTCACGGTACCGAAATGACCAGCGAAATCTCATGGCACCTCCAGTACACCAAACACTAAAATCTTGTATCACCGCCATCACCTGGCAATGACTCCACAAATGGAGAGTTTCGATAGCGTGCGTAAACAGTGGGCAAAACATACTGATACCAGCAACGATAATAATAGTAATGATATCAACATCAGTTTTCTAACCAACACTGGCAGCATTAGAAACAACATCAATACTGGCAGCATTACTACCAACGCCAAGACTGGAGGCATTTCTAACCACACCAACACTGGCAGCTTTACTAACAACACCAACACTGACAACTTTAGTAACCAAAACAACTAAAGAGCAGATAGAGTAGCATCATACCTCCGCCCTCCCCTGCATACCACGGCTGGCATTTGACGCTCAATCTCTCAGTCTTACAAACGTATGGCGATCTGTAGATCACAACAGCAGGTCACACCAGCAGATCACCTCAGTAGATATCACTTGGAGATCACCTAGCAGATCGACCCCGTTTTCATGAATTGTCTTGCATCTGTACTGGCATCTAAGGAATCAACAAAAGAAGGTTTGTTTGCTTTGATTTCCTACATTTCAGTTCGCATCTGCACCGGCATCTAAGGAATCAACAAAAGAAGGTTTGTTTGTTTTGATTTCCTAAATTTCATTGACGCCCAGATCACCTTGTCAGTCCCTTGGCTCGAGGATTACGCGATGGCTGCACCCTCAGAACAGAAGACATGACCAACGAATTTGTCAAATTATCAGACATGCGATCATCATTAAATAAGTCTCAATCATTTCCTGCAAGATGCCGCTTGTTTTGCTCGTGCCAAATTATAGTATCATTAATCATGTATACGTTATTTATTATCACATTTATTCAGTCAAGAAAAGTTGCTCGAATTGAAAAACTTTACGCAACAGCTTAATAATTGAAAATTATTGTATTGTAAACTTTCTGATGGCTCAACATAAGCACTCCAATTTTTAAACAATGTTATAATTACTTAATGTCAAATTTTTCATTCATGGCCCGTCTTCTTGAAATTTTTCTTCATGGCCCGTCAACTTGAAAATCATTCATCGTAGTTTATCAAGTCATTATTTTTAACAGCACGGGTGCAAAATCAATTTGAAAATGAGTTCTGACATAACAGGGATGAAGAAAAACATGCACAATTGTTACTGACGATGAATGCATGAAAATTCATAGGTATAAGGCTGCACAGCGACGGCCTTCCAGCAGTGGAGCGAACGCCTAAACTTCGTCACGAACATAAAGCTTCAAGGAAACGTACGGCGGAAATACTGGACGGCGGAATGCCGTGCACGTTCAGCTGCTCAGCGGACAAAATGGAAAAAAACGCTACTTGTTTTGGTTTCGATTTTTTTTAGGATTTGTCGTTAGCCAACAAAGTATCCGGGAGTACGTGAACTGGAAAGGTGAAGTCATGAAAAAGTGAAGTCGTCGCTGAAGTCGTGAAAACGTAAAATTTTTAATACAGCCGTTCGCAAGATTCCAATTATACGTTTATTTTTCTTCTGACCTTGAAATAGTGTTTGAAAAATTGTACATTATGTTTACATAAAGTTATTTCCCAATCCAATCATTAATTGTATGTATTCCTCGTGTTTGAAAAATGTTACATAATGTTTACATAAAGTTATTTCACAATCCAGTCATCAATTGTATGTATTCCTGTCAATAAAATTATTTTATGTATTGGTGACCGGTACATAAGGTCGGTCCAACTGATCCACTCATGCTGGTCCAGTGCAGAGGTGAAAGCAGACACGCTGAAGGCCACAGACGCTAAGCTGATCAGTGCTGTACCGGGCGTCCAGGGGGGGGGGCAATAGGGATGGGGGGTCTCAGAGGGTTGCAAGGAAACGTGGATTAAGATAAAGAGTATGGATCGCCATCGGAAAAAAAATTTGTAACACTTCGGTTTCGATAACATAAATTTTCTGTGTATATATAAATTATTTTAGTTATAGCTAAGGTAGTTAGTATATAAGTTTAGTTAGTATATAGCTAAGGGATGGGCATTTGGAGCATGAACGATAAAATCCAGTTTTGGATTCTTTTCGTTTCGTCCCATTATTCCACAGTTATTTAATCAATAATAACTAATTTTCAACCCACATAAGTCCTGAATTTTATGATTCGGGTGAAGTGTTAGCTTTGCCGAGAGCCACTAAAGTTATTCTTATTAGCAGCAGTTGCGGTCACGGTACCGTACAGATCTTAGCGCGACGAGTCTGCTTTGTCTGAGCACCTGCGTCGCGATGGTCTGTAATTACGCCTACAAACTTTTATGTTCAAGGACGGAATCCATAGTGAAAACTAAACGACTTTTCTTGGTCTGAAAAAATAAATTATTCATATAAGTCTGAAATTATTAGTTACGTATATTAAATATTATTTTATATTATACTTATTAGTTATATTATTATATATATTATTAGTTATATTGAAAATATTATTTCTAATAATTGAAGTATATTAGTCTCGAACTTAGCAAACTAAGAGAGGAACCATACGAGCATTTGACATCCAAGGCACAAAACCACAACAAGTAATTTACAATTTTCTGGGTCGCTGTGATTCGCATATCGATCGCATATCGATGTAAACTTATATCCTATAGTGAATGCCTGCAACGTACGAATAAATCCACTTGTAACAAAAATTAAAACGGAGAAACAAAATAATAAACGTATCATTCAAATTCTCGTAACCTTCACCACCACCGTAGAAATTCTCTTAATAGTTGACCACGGACTCGAGCACGTATCACAGATACCAGCCACACACGTCAGGCCGGGCACGGCGGGCGTCGCCCTAATAAAACACTGCAAAAAATTGTCTCGAGCCGACGAGAGAGAAATGCTCGGCTTGAACTTGATGCAAGACTCGCACGCAGAAAGTGAAACTCTTTCCGACCTCCTACAAGTCTCGATACAAATGCACGTAAATATCATGTTCAAAGAGCAGAGGGTTCTTAGATTGACCCCATCCATACACTCGTGAAAGCAGGTGTTTAATATGTGCTCGGGGTCAGGTTATCTCAACAAATACCCGCTACTTTAATCTTTTTATCACTCCAAACATCCATAACCCACACCACGCTGGAACTCTAGCATGTCCTTTTACCTTCATACTAAACCGTGTCTCAATGCCATACACGTCCTTGACTTAAATAACATGCACATACAATCTACTCCTTCATACGCTACACATATGCATATTATCCTCTATTGATAACATGATATTTTCAATCTACATCTAGTAATTTTTCATTGGCAGCGTCATTCGTGAAAAAGTATACGTTACCAATTCTACTAGCAGGTTCTTGTGGGTGGTTCAAAGCAAATCACCCTCATGTTTTAAGGCTTGACGGCATAAAAATATATATACATATATTATAGAATTTAAAATGTATGCTTATAGTTCCAACATCCAAAGTTGTTCATGTTTCCCAGTACTCACATATTCGGCTGTATGTACGGCAGGATCGCCTCGTCAGTAATCCTGGAAAAATAGAGAAAATATTCAACGTGGAAACGAAGACTAAAACTCTAATAGCTAGATTACGATTCGCTGCTGGTAGCGCATTGGTGTTGCAAGGTAAAATTCTGGGGCCATACTTTCAAAACTCGCTAAGTGAACGTAAGTACTTACGCTCTATTTTCTTGTCTATGATTGGTGGATTTAGCTTGAAAGGCCGTCAATGCTTGGCTGATGAACTTACAATCTCTTAACTTTTTTTTGAAAGTATGGGCCCAGGACAAGGACGCCAACATTTGTCCCGAAAGTGAAACGACGAATGATAGTTATAAAATCGAAGCCATTGTGAAATGTCGTACGCGTATAGAAAAACGGTGGATCGGTAAAGAACTAACTTGAATGAAGGTATAAAGGATAAGAACGAATTATAAACATGAGACATTCAATTTCTGGAACATTATACGAGCACAAGATTTAAATTTCAATTACTGGCAATAGAAATGTATGTACTGTTGTAGAATCATGATCGCCGCAAGCGCTTATATAGTGGAGAAATGCTAGACAGCTAAGGAAAGAAATTGCAGGAAATTTAACATGGTCTTGAATAAATGTGCACTAGAATTAAGCGCGATAAAACGATTTCGTAACGGAGCTGAAAGTTATAAATACAGTTTAAATGTATAAAAGGTTTTAAAAAAATGTATACAGTTTAAAGGTTTAAAATCAATATGGATGAAATTCAGGAATGTATAAAATGAATACAGAGGCCATCGCTGTATATTAAAAAATAAGTTACGACAATCTTTCTTTCTTTACGAAAATGTCGATAATAGATTGCAATAATACGTTTCCAGACACTGAGATCAGGGTTTAATTATCAAAATAAATGAACGTACGGCACGCAAATCGGATTCAGCTATTGTGAATTAAAGAGTTTCAGAAAAAACAGGAGAAGTGATCTGATGTTGTCAAGGCGGATAATAGAAGAACTGGACAGACAGAAGGAGAACTGGTGTAACGTGAGGTACGAAGGTGAGCAACATCACCACAGAAGCTCATGATAAAACCACAATTAGTAAAATTGAATAATACACGAATAAATATATAACAACGCTACTGCCGCATAGATTTGAAAATGATTCAAGCACCGACGTGTTGATGCTGAGACATGAATCAAAACTTTGTTTACAAATTCATTTGTTGATGATATTGATAATGCCTAATAAATTCGTTGACTATAAAGATAAATAATTAAAGTTAATTAAATTAGATAAGTGAATTGCACAACCAAAACAAGTAAACCGAGATTTGTGTAACAATCATAAGGCTCTATCGATGCATCATGCAGGAAGAGGTCTGAAATGCATATGGCTCGATCGTCGGGTCCGAAGCAAATGTTCGTTTTTTTTTTCTTCAAAAATACCGTTTACCAAACCACATATCAATGGTTAACATCAGACGAAAATTTCCACATAATCCGTCGCAGAAAAATCAATTTGAAAATGCGTTCGTCATGAGTGGACACAATGTCTATGGTAGGAAGTGATAGTCCACGGAGGCAGGAAAGTGTTGAGGAGCGCACAACAGCAGCTGAGGGCACGAGCTGATGACTCGACAGTTTATCTGCCGCCTCGTTATTGCTGGCACTTGTTGACTGAGACGAGGCGACAACGCAGCAACTTTCTCGTAGAAAGGCTGAATATTTCACGGTGTAATCAACGTGCACATCGGGAAAAGGGACAGTGCGACTTGGTTTTCTATTCGAAGATTTCTGAACGTGTGCGGTAAAAGTGGCAACTGAATTACTATACCGCGCGCTTGCTTTTCCATCACAAACTTCAAGTACGTATACCACCATGCTACATTTAATGGTAAATATTTCTGTAAATGATCAAATTAAACATATAGCAGTCATATTTATTAAGCTCAAACGAAAAACAAATTTGTATTAACGTCTTTCTTGGATCCTCCCCACGGGATTAAGAAGATCTCGTTAAGCCTTCGTCTTCAGAAATGAACACATTGACGAGCTGGACTTTCTAACGAGAGAATAAACACAAATGAAAAAGTTGACAATGGTAGCTATCAAACAAAGAGCAGAAACGAATCCACGCTTGTTCAGTTGAAGGAAAACACAAATTCGAAATGGTTGCCAATAAACAACTCGCGTACAAAACCAAAACAACTGATAAATTTAGAGTCCCATCAAGACTCGACAGCAAATATGGGCGTCACACCGATCCACAAACAATAATGCCCATTCATATACAGATATATCTTACGATGTCAAATCAAACTTATGAACCCAACGCTATATTACTAGCCTAGTTCATAACTGAAAGTTCACCAAGATCTTTAAGTGTTCACATAGCTGTATACTAACCTCATGCAATGGTCCAAAATTTTCAACTTATAACTAGCTAACAAATTAATCCCACTAGCTACTGAATGCCAAGAATATGCATATCTTTACAAATACGCGAACATAACGCATACGACTGCGCGACCCATCGTGCTGTACAAGGCCCATGCTGCATGTAGGCGCCAGGCCAGTTCCATGCAGACAATAAGGGTCGAAACAGCGCCGGCCGCCCGATGGCCATACATCAATCAGCTATGAACCACCTACGATGGTAGACAGGGTTGCATGCAAGCACAACCATCGCGTCTGGTCACTCTGCATGCCGTCAGATTGCATACACAACCTGATGTCAGCGCACGCTACCGGCAGGTTACCGAAACAACCTCATGTCAGCCCACGCTACCGTCAGGTAACCGAAACAACCTGATGTCAGCGCACGCTGCCGTCTCAACCTGATGTCAGCGCACGCTGCTGTCAGGTTACAGAAACAACCTGATGTCAGCGCACGCTACCATCAGGTTACAGAAACAACCTGATGTCAGCACACGCTACCGTCAGGTTACAGAAACAACCTGATGTCAGCGCACGCTGCCGTCCTGGGACGACGCACGTGATGGTCAAATTTAACCGAGCCATCCACGTAACGTTTACTGAACACGAACCATTTATAAGCAAACAAGCAATTCATATAATTTGGATACAGCCGTGCCTTTTTACCAAGTTTAACGCATTGCAATTTCATGAACAATTTTGCTGTCATAAAATATCTAGAAATATAAAATAAAATAATAAAAATAAAATAAAATATCTCATAATATAAATACCATCTGTCATAAAATATTAAAAAGATATTGCTGAAAGAAAATAGTCATGTTCGTCGTATTATTATAGTTTCATAAATGCCTTCATAGTATATATATTCCTGATCCATTGTATTGGAGATTTTTGAACCTCTCCATCAGTAAGCAACACGGTCGCTGTGACTGGATTAAGCGATGTAGCAGTAACGGTCATCGGGAATAACGGCCCAAGCCGCCGGACCCAAGAATCCAGCGGCGCTGCAAACCGGAATGTCGATCGGAAACTCAGCAGGCAGCTGTCGACGGCAAGCGTCTGGAACAAGGGCGAGGAACACGCCCAAGTGTCGTTCGTTTAGCCTTATTTACATGCTACAAAGATGCCCTCAGTATATCACGGCAAGTTCACGCTAAAAAATAATCATTATAAACTTTCTTGATATTCTGCAAAATAAGTACAAACACACATCTCTGTTCCATACATATAGGGGAGCTGTAAAACTTGCACAAATTTAAAAACAAATTTAAACTACAGTTGCCTCCTATAGTCGCAAGTCGCAAGGTTCACACGTTCACGCCTCGATATGGTAATAGTCGTTAAACACAATACATAATCACAAAGCAAAATGCCATGCCTATGAAAACCAAGTCCGCTCTTTAACTCCTAAACTTTAAAACGCTTTAAACTCCTCACACTGCCCTCTGCAAAAGGCCTGTGTGACAAAGCTTATCTTACAAACAAGTTCTTACATAGTTTTTAGATTCTTTATACAAAGGCTTCAATAATAACATATTATGTTTGAGGTTAAAGTTTGAGGTTAAATTTGCCTCGATGACTCGACCGAACGGAGGCGGGACTTTCTCTTTCAGCAGTAGCCAAAAATTCCGACTTAAGGGTCCGCCGAAGACATCGGCATTTTTGGCTACTGCTGAAGGTCCGCCGAAGCAGCATCGGCGCACCGAGCGCGGAGGAACCTATGAAGGCGGGAAGACACTGGCGCCGGAAATAGACGTGGTCAAGAAATGACATCGTTGGGGAAATGAAGTAGATGACACGAATAAAAGTTGAAAACTTGAACAGTTGGAAAATGTGGGATTAAATTGAAACTTAAAATTAGTGACATATACAATTGTACAATGTACATGGAATGGATTACGGAGTAGATAAGTTATCGAAGGAGAAAATACATAGCCGCAGAATACCTCATCACGGGGAAGCGAGATTTGGCTCAGCTTAAGATAGTGAGCGCAAAATTACATTATATTTTGATCACGAAACGAATAAATACCACATTTACGCGAGAAATATGTTATGAATTTTGACCGGCATTATATATTTCAATCAAAATTAAATATGTTTTGATGGCTGAATTAAAAGCAAAGAATTGCAATCTACCAAAACGCCACACAAAAATTTTAAGCACTCGTTGCTGCAAGACTTGTCTATCTACGAATTCATGCACGTCCAGATTTCTTTGGTGTCTAGATGAACGTCTAGATTTCTTTTATTTCGAGCTTAATCATCAAAACTTTTTTCTCGAAGGCGGAAATTCCTGCAAAACATTTGAGGAGATAAAAAAACCGCGTTCGATCGTGGAAAGCACTTTTTTCGGTCGGCGATACGCCGCTGCAACGAAAGCGTCAAAAATCGCGCAAGAAGTGAGAGGAAGAGACGTGAACGTGACAGCGGTGAAGAGCAGCAGCGTGAGTGAAGTGCACATGTACAATAGAAGAGATCCAGATGCACTCGAGTTAACATTAAACAATCTCGAGCCGATCATTTCACTCACTGGGAATATCACAATTACTGTTTTGACAATTATGGGCGTAGATGCAATGTTTTGGCGCATTATAAGAGGATGATG